CCCTCGGGGGTCTTGATAACCAAATAGGACAGGTGAACTAGAAAAACATAGGACGCATCTTTCTACTTAGATATTAAAACCTAAGCTTTCATGTTAATGCTAATAAATGCATTAGGTTGTCTCTCATAATGCTGTCTCTCTAACCGAACGGATCAGAAAGTGATAGTATGACTTTTTATCGGAAATGAAATTTAATGGATTTCCGTGCCACTTGCCATAAATTTCATTGCAAATTGAAAAGACTTAATTGCTATTCTCTCCAAAGTTTGTTTTATGTAGGTTGCTTCAATTTTTTTGTTAACTTCTTACTTGCTTAACATTTAAAGTAATGTGGTGCTCAAATTTACATGACATGTCATTAAGTATTATTTTATTTAGAAGAGAAAAGAGGATGTGCATGAATTATGAGTTAAGGTAGTTATTAATGAGAAGAGAATGTTATTATATATTCAGACGTGTGAAGTAGTAAAGATGCGCTCCACGTTTTTCTAATTCACCTGTCCTATTTGGTTATCAAGACCCCCGAGGGTTTTTTTATACTTTTTAAGGCGCATAAAAACGTTATTTTTAGATTCATTTTTTAATCTACTTTAGTTATTTTGTTCTTTTTCGTTTTCGTATGAACGTATCTATATATTTAAATGTACAATGCTATATAATGAATATACATATAATTATACATATATTTTACATATAAATAATATTATTACAATATTATATAATAAAATCAGTCCATTTCGTTTGTAAGCGGTGATTACATTAGAAAAGGCTGCATGGTCAGAAGGATTATCATAAGAAATAGTAATCAATTTAAAAGCTTATAATTTTAGATTTATTACTGTATAAACTATCATAAAAGTTGAAATTAAGTTGTAATTACTATATAAATTATCATAAAAGTTGAATAAAAGTTGTAAGAAAATGCAAAAAAGTGTAATGATGGGAACTGGTTTGAATATATTTCTTTATTTTAATTGTATGATTTTAAAAAAAAAAATGATACAACAGTTCATAAATATATCTAATTTTCCCTTGTACTATCTAAAAAGCATAGCACCCCCATTCTTTCAGACAACGCCTTCAAATATTTTTGTAAGCCTAGGACCTAGATAAAAATTAAATTTAGAGAAGTAATGTGAAATCGATTGTCTAAATGGTATATTTCCAAAAACAGTGATATAAATTCAAAGTGGCAAGGTCATAAGGGCATAAAATTTTATTTTACACTAGTACACCTGAAGATCTAGTTGCACCGCTACAATCAAGTAAGATATGATCATGGTTCCCAAAACTGAGATATGTAAAAACCATACAAAGGAGCACCTCGTCATTTATTAGAGAGTCGTAGGGTCATGTATATCGAGATAGGGTTTTTAAACGGTGTAGACTCGGATGAAATAATCGATAAGGTGGCTAATAAAAGTAAAATGGTATCAATATTGTTAATTTTTTTTTATAAACTAGTTGATTTGTATTATTAAAAATGTTAACGTTTCTCATACATAATTTTCAATTTTTAAGTTAAGAGCTGTATTATAACGGAGCGAAGCGAGCAAATTTCAGGTGTCCCCTTTGAAATATTTTCCTAAAAATGTACCTTTCAGCTCCTTAAATGGGAGAGAGGGGGAGCTCTAGGAAACTTCAGGCCAGTTAAAAACTCTTAGAGCTCTATGAGAATTTTGTCAAATTTAAAAATGTTACCCAGAGCTATGCCTTTGTGATGTTTATCAAAAGTATAAGAAAATTGAATTAAACATATTTTTTTTTTTTTGCTAAAAATTAAATTTAGGTCGAATAGTATTCAGTGTTAAATTTTGGTTCTGTGTTAAGTTAGCCGTTGTTTTTGTGTTCAAGACTCAGCTATACCGTGCAGTGTATACAATCGCCCAATGTTTGCACTAGCTATGCTTAACAAAAAAATCCAATAACAAAATACGATGTAGGGATCGGTTGCAATCAACTGTATACATACATTTTTTTTTATTTTTGTCTGTTCTCACGATATCACCCAAGCCACTAAACTGATTTTTTCGTGTAGCAATTTTATAAAGCAGAAATCGTTTAAACAGAAAATAATATCAATAAAACACCCCCTTCCCTTCAAAAACCAAGAAACACATAAAAAAAAATTTACATATTTTTCAATATAAAATTACAATGCTTTATACCTTTTTAAAAATAGTCTTTTTAGTTCCAAAATTCTGTGGAATATTCTTTTAACTTAATGCTACCAATAAACATAGGTAAACCAAAAAAAATATCATAAAGGGATTTAAGTCTGAAAAATAGAATCAGGTTTGCTTAAACTGGTTTGAACCTACTATCGACAGGTTTGCATAGAAGCGTTTAATGAACAGTGATTTTCACACTTAGCATGAACATAGAACATTTATGTATTTTAAAGGGAGGACGGCCAAAGAAATATCTCTCCCACAAAATTTTCTTTAGCCGCCTTCCCTTGAAAATATATAAATGATCTACGTTCATGCTAGGTGTGTATGTGAAAATAAATAGTTATCTGAAACTGGTTATCGACCAGTCAACAATTTTAGTATATTATTCTCAATTTAAAAAGTTAATCAAATATGTACGTGACCTTTTAAGTTTCAAAAATTGACAAAATAAAAAGTAAGTTGGGATGAGGTAAAACCAAAAAATAATTGTGAAAAATTGAGGACACATTGTATAAAAAAAATATGAAAAAAATAATTTTAATTTCATATTTAATGAGATATTGAGTAGTACACGATAAGTGGATCACGCTGTATCTATATATAGCTGAGGATGATAGTTCATATGCAGGAATTTACCATGGTCTATAATTTATTTTTCTTCTAGTTTTTGATTATTTCGATATTTTATTCAAACACAATTAGTTGCCAGAGCAGTATGTTGAGAGCAGATAATACATTTTATGTAATTGTACACATTGTTTTCAACATTATGTTATATTGTGGTACGATGTCTGACTGATCAGCTAAATCTATATGTATAATAAAGCCAGTACAGTGGAATTGTAGGGACGGGGAGGTTACAGTGATAAAATTACTCTCAAATAAACAATTCGATTTGAATCTGTGGTCAGTAGGTTCAAACCAAGCATAGTATAAACCAGCACACTAAGAAAGTTGTATAAGTAAATAGTAGTAGTAAGTTAATTTTGGGTAGGGGAAAGGCACAAGACATATTCCTGTTCCAATATGTTTTCTTCAAGAGAAAGATGGTACTGATTTTTTTACTTTTCTTTTAGAATTTACTTCGAGTTCTGAATTTAATATACCAAATTTGCGGTTGGTAGTAGTGTTGTTGCAGAAAATAACAATTATCAATTTAAGTGGAGATAGTCCATATTAATATTAACCATACTGAAAACAAATTATTAAAAAATTTAAATAACTTTCTTAGATATTTAAATAATTATATGGTAAATAATCAAATATTACTATACACATATATTAGTTATAATTATACAAGTAAGTAAATAGTAGTGGTAAGTTTGTTGAGGGCAGGGAAAGAGCACAAGAGATATTTATGTTACAATGTGTTTCCTTCAAGCGAAAGATGATACTTGTTATTTTACTTTTCGTTTTGAATTTACATCGAGTTCTTAGGCTATCAGAATTAATACATAGACCGGGTTTAATGTAGCCGAAGAAATTCCACCTTGACATTATTGGTAGGCTTCTACACCCGTGTATTTTCTATCGATAATAACTCTAAATTAGTAGAATATTACACAAATCTGGATTTTTTATAAACCTATGTATTTTTCATGGCTTATATGGTCTGAAGTAATTTATTTTTGGTGTTAAGTAAAAACAAGTTTATTTATTAATGCCCTTCAAGAAGCATATTATGATTAGTGTATTAAATTGGATAATTTGGTATCGCCTTTATAATAGTATTTGCTGGGTTTGGTTTTTGTTTTAACCGATAGATTTGAACACAAGAAGCTTTATATTTTTTTTAGTTTAAAACGAAAACACGATATTATTTGAACAATTCACATGTAAATATTTTTCCGGGTTACAACTTAGATTGTACTTTGACTAAGAGACCTCTGTCCCTCGGAATATGCCTTGTTATTTGTAAGGTAGATTGATAAATCATTATAGCCATACAAGAGCCGCAATTTACTTAGATAACAATTTATTAAGTTGTGTTTTCTGATTTATCAAGCTAGCTTCTAAATAACAAGGCATATTCCGAAGGGCAAAAACCTCCAATCTAAGTTGTAATACACGAGCAGAAAAATATTTTACACGTGCATTGTTCAAGTAATAACGTGTTTTCATGTTGTACTACAAAAATTTGAAGGTTAACTGTGTACGAATTTATCGGTTTGAAAAAAACAAAGAGCAGGAAATTTTATACTATCAGCAACACAGTTTGTAAAAGCGATACTAAATTATCCAATTTAATATACCATACATAATATTATGCTTATTCATGGGGTACTATCAAATAAGCTTGTTAGAACTTATCGCCAATTATATATTATTTCAAACCATGTACAAATACATAGTTTTAGAAAAATCCAGATATGTATATTGTTCTGATGGCTAAGGATTAACTGATTTTGTTCTTGTAAAAAAAAAAAAATTACAACATGATAAAGTTAATTTATGCTTATACAAACAAGAACGATTTGCTTAAAACTTCCCAAAAGTCCTAACTCATAACTTCAACATGTCTTTATCAGTTTTTTTTTATCTGTGACTTCTGGAGTTAACTTACAAACAAGAATATTCCCTTCCCCCCAATCTATATAATATAAAATTTTAAAAGTTTAAAACTCATCCCGATTTTGGAGAATTTATATCTTTACAAAGAGATTTAAACCCAAAATTAAAAATGTACTACAATCGTGCATCAAACAAGTATTGAATAATGTCTACTAGTTTTCAAAATAATTGTCATTTTACACATTTCAGAGTACTGTACTGCACCAAAAGATTTAAGCAGCACACTTATAAGACTTAGAAGATATGTGAAAGGTAATTCAGACAGAGAATAAACAAGTTTTATAGTAATGTTTAATTAACACTTTCCCTCTACAAGATAAAAATGTATACCAAAAATTAAAATTTGTCTTAAATTTTACAACTATTCTAATAAGTTATATAATATAAACAATACATTTTTATTTTTCCCTTTAGAAACCGTATTCCAAACGTATCTTAGCATGTGTTGTCAAATTGCCATCTGGACACGTAGGAAGCGGCGTGCTATTATTTGCGACGCTCGGCTCGCATACCGACGCGGATGAATACCCCTGCTCGAAATCATCTGGCCATCGGTGTTCCAACGGTATTTCTTCATTACCGTACTCGTTGTTTTGATTTGTTGGCACTTGTGTGTCAACTCTGGTTTTTTTCCATCGTATTACAATGAAACATGAGCAGCCCGCTATTCTTATACATATTATGCCTGCTGCCAAGACATAATTAATTATAGGTTGTATTCGACGGTGTTTAGCTCGCAGTTGTTCGTCGAACTGTTCTCTCAATTGTTTAACTGACTTCCCAATGGTCGGTAAATCATTAAATTGATTAGTGTTTGTGATTCGCCTTGCATCTACTACTGGAATTACATTTTCATTAGTAAATAAAGTTAGGTCAATTGTCATACTTGTAGTGGGCACAAAGTCTGTATAGTTTTTTGTGATCCCCAATGCAGCCGGTATCAACAGATCGTACGATGCGTATGCTTTGCATGTTTCGGGTAGTGATAAGGCGCCAACGTCGTTTATGGTATGAGCGATGGACTCCTTTTTCCCGTCGCAAGCGATTACAAGCGGTTCTTCGGTCGTTGCGTACAGCCATTGGTTCTTCAGTTGCAATTTGTGAAATAACGTTGTTTCCAGTTGGAAGTACATCATTTCACAATTTTCTGGTAAGTCTTTTGAGTTTTGGAACAACTGTACTTCGCACGGTACTTTATTCTTACGTGGGTGGATCGCCTTGGTTTCAGGGCACAACATAAATGTTTTTGATTTTTTACATCTTAAAATATCTAGATCATTCAAAATACTATAATATTCATGTGTTTTACTTATTGCTACAAAATTATAGTTAGGTTGAATATAGACAAAAATATTATTAATAGTTTTTACAGGAAAAGGTACAATATTATATAATGTTAGTTCTTGTTCATATGTTAATGGTAATTTGATTAAAAACACCATTCTACCATCAGCGTGGTATATCGTGATTTCCGATAATTTTAATAATTCATATATACCTGTTAACCCTAAGTCAATTGGCAAATCCGTTCCACTGGGTAAAGAAATTTTTATATCTTTAAATTGTTCCAAAAGTTCTTTTGGTGATAATATGTTAGGACGAATCAATCCTATTTTTGCATAGTTAATTATTTCTGATAAAGTAAATAATTCCAAAATATTTATCTGTTAACCAATTTTTTTTTTTTTTTTTTAATTTTAACTTTTTTGTTAACTTTTAAACTTCCAGGGCTGACGGATTATCCAATTACCATAAATAATGCCCCAACAATTGTCTTATATGAATTATTAATTACTAATTATCAAAACTTGATATATCATGCTGACTTACAAATAATCCATGATTTTTTCCTTCTGACGCTGGATGCCTTATTATCTTCTTTGCCTTAACTGGATTCTTGACTCTTCTGTAGATGGACGTCTCCACTTGCAGTTGAATCACTGAGGACTCTTGGACTTCCTCTAAAAATCCGACTTCTGACACCAATTTACGTACTGCACCAAAAGATTTAAGCAGCACACTTATAAGACTTAGAAGATATGTGAAAGGTAATTCAGACAGAGAATAAACAAGTTTTATAGTAATGTTTAATTAACACTTTTAAACACAATAATAACTCAAGACAATACTTATAATAGTGACACAGAGTATCAATTAGATCACTGAGTATACCAATTAAGTACTGAGGTCTCTAGCTTAATAACTAATGCCCTTTTATATTAAACTAAACAATGGTTAGTCCTACTACTACTCAATAATAATAACAATAGTCAATAACGATAACGCGTGATTGGGCTATTGGCCAACACGCGTGGCTACAAACAAGTAAAAGTATTACAACATCTATATGGCAATAATAATAAGACTAATAATAACAAACAATAGTATTGGGATTATTACAGTACCTACGTTTAATATAGAGTTGTTTTCGATAGAATTTACACTCGTGTATATTCTATATATAGAGGCCTCTAAATGAATCTACTGTGATTTACCACATAGTTATTTAAGTATCTAAGAAACTTGTTTAAATTGTTTAATCATTTGCTTTCAGTATGGTTAAAATTGATATGGACTATCTCCACTTAAATTGATAATTGTTATGGTCTGCAACAACACTACTGCCAACCGAAAATTTGGTATATTAAATTCATGTAGTCAATCAGTCTAAACCAATTTCATCAATACATTGCCGCATGTTGAGACGTATTCAATTTTCAGTAAATTTATAGCAGTTTTATTCTAAGGTATAATTTATAAGATCACCAGTTTTCAATACTTCAGTTAACTGCAATTAATTCATCATTTATTAAATATTATTTTTTTTTTAGTTACTGTGGCACACTATTGCCGGTAACGGTTTTTTATTAAGTCAGTAAGAAGAATAAGATAAATTCACAAATTCAAAACAAATATCAGTCAACTATACATTTAGTTATTCAGCTAAAAATTTAATTTAATAAAATAATTTAAAAATACTTTATAATTTTAAAAGTGACATAAAGTTTTTAAACTTTAAGTATTTAAACACACATATACTTAGCATATCTATATGTATTTTAATAATTATTAAATACTTATTGTTCCTACTTAAAACATGGGATAATAAAGAATACGATAAATTTCTAGAAGGAAGAAATATATAAATAGTTAGCCCAACTAAATGATTACAGGAACAAATGTGAATTAGTTATTTCAACTACAAATTTATTGTGACCCTTTTATTAAAGACATACTTTTGGACATACTAGTTGAACATACTTTGTATTTTAGGTCAAGTTACCTATTTACTTAAATTTATAGCTCTCACAAGGTACATTTAGTGCCTTATATATTTTGTTATATGAATGAGTTTCTTTTTAAGAAACTTATTCATCAATGATCTCTGACTTGAGGCTCTGTATAATAATATATTTAACATTTTGACTTATTTGGTTCTAATAATATCGGAAACATTTTAAATATTTTATACAATGCTAAACAAAGTTGTTTTTTTAGTAGATATATAATTTACCCGTCTCTGGTGTTTTTTGGAAACATGAACGGTCTGTTATTATACAAATAACATTGCCATTTGCGTCGTAGTATAATACAACTGTTTCTATGAAGCTTGAATAATATTTTTTAAATATGGTATTACTTAAAATATGGACTAATATACGGACACGATCAATTTTTAGCGGGAGTAAGTAAATAAATACTTTGCCCAATTAAATGATTATAGGAACAAATGTGAATTAGTTATTTCAGTATCAAATTTATTGTGACCTTTTAATAACCAGATATTTAATTGGACCTACTTTGTATTTTAGGAGGAGTTACTTATTTACTTAAATTATTAGCTCTCACCTGGTACATTTTGTGCCTTATATATTTTGTTTTGTTTTTTTCTTTTTAAGTTTCTACTTAAGAAAATTATTCATCAATGATATCTGACTTGAGGCTATGTATAATACTATGTTTAACATTTTGACTTATTTGGTCCTAGTAATATCAGGCATATTTGAAATATTGGACAATTTTTTCATACAACGCTAACCAAAATTGTTCTTTGCTAGCGAAATATTTTATCCGCCTCTGTTGTTTATTAGAAACATGAACGTTCTGTTTTTTACAAATAACATTGCCTTTGCGTCATACTTTAATAAAACTGTTTCTATATAGTTTGAATAACATTTGTTAAATAATATATATTATATCCATTTAGGTTTTATTCGAAACATAATAGTTTCTAAAATACTTAATTGTTAATGTTTTTAAAAAGGAAAACTAAAAGTTACAATTATTAAAAAAAATATATTTAATGTACTTAATGAATGATCTGTTTATGTTGAAATAAAATATATTTTATATAGGTATTTTTACAATTGATTTTTGTACCATCCTCCAACACAGAAAATATTACATATTTAAGAAAAAATGTAATAGTTAAAAAAATAAAATTCTATAAAAAAAACCAAAAAGAGTTAGTCTATATAAAATTTGAAATAGACATTCTTTTTCGATTTAAAATATTATGTAGGATTAGTTTTCGTACCCTGCATTGTTCTTATTTCAATCACAGTGAATCCAAACCTGTAGAAATACAAGGAAAGGATTTAGAAGCAGTAACAAATAGTTGGAATAGATTATATGAAAAAATACAACTTTACTTATTCGGTAATTATTTATTTTTTTGATAGACCTGACATGATACAGAAATAGGCTTATAGCATTACGTACTTACTGTACAAAAAAGTATTATGTAAAATAAATTATTGAAAAAATCCTAAGATGGTTGATTTCCCCTCAGCTTAAATATATGTATAATATTTTTTAATTTCTGATTTTATAGTGTATATAGTGATAATAATATAATAAACTCTAATATATTATGTAAGGAACAGAATAAGGAAGCCAGTGTTTTTCTGATATTAGGTTAGTGTGTGGGTGCAGTTTGATGATGTCCGTGTTGTAAGTAATCCTCGAGTGTTTTGATTGGCCATAAGAGTCTATTGTCCATGTACCACCGATTTTCCTGAGTGTATTTTCAGTAGCAGAACAACATATAAAGGTACATGTACGGCTACTTGAGTCAATGTTAACTTCATTTATGTATGATGTTGGCAATTGTGTACTCAAGTATATTCCTATCAAACGACAATTAGGTAATAGAGAGGTAATATTATTCGCATATACGTGGTACAACTAACTTTTTGTACAACCACATATTATTGTTGAACCTCAACAAATGTACTTTTTCTATACTTCAAATCCCGAAGAATTTATTACACATTAACACTGTAGTCTCACTTTCTGCCCCTCTTTCCCCAACAAAAAGTTGAATTTATTACAATTCTTTTTTGACACAAAAAATATAATAAATAAAATTAAGCAAAGATCAACTCTAAAACAAGCTTTAAAGGCTATTTATAATTATCAAACTAATCGTACATACCACCCAAATAATCTCCTGGCATATCAATTCCTGTAACAAACACATCAAACATCAAATTATTCTGCTGTTAATAAGTCCCGGTTTATATATTTTATACATAACATCCACTAGGTCAATTAGATCAATATTAATTAATGCGCAGTATTATTGTATAAATGTAAATTTATATTGTATAACGATTTTTAAACAAACGGTTTAAATTTTATTTCGAATGATTTTTTAAAATCTTAAACATAAAACATATATAGTTTTTTTTTTATTTAAAAATACATTCTTTTTTATATTTACCAAATTTACTCTCTATGTCTTGAATCATTTTGTCGAATAAATCATCATAGACTTCTAAAATTTAAAACAAAATACATTTTAATGTAACCACATATATTTTATTATTGAGACCGATATATCATATTGGTATTTGTCAATAGGACATACTATTATTCTCAAAGTAATTATAAATAAGAAACATGCAATAAGTATAATAAATATATAATATATGAAAAAAGGATTTTATTTTGCATTAGGTGAACTGGAAGTTAATACAAAAATCTCGTGTGCATAAAGAATATTAAACAACTGTTTGGAAACGCTTCCATAAAGTGCAATGAAATGTATTACCTGTTCTTCTCATGAGAATTTCTGTATATTCAATACGATGAGAGTCTCTTTGGCGAATTCAATAGGAATGAAATATTAGAAATAATTTTATCAAATTTAACAAAATGTATTACCCGGTACAGCTGTCAAAAAATGAATATGGCCTGAAATTAACATTAAATTAATAAATGATATTGAATTGAATTTGCTATAGTGAATTAGTAGTTATAACATTATTTATATATAAATTATAAGGCAAAAGTCAAAGTAGAAAAACTATATTATATAGACTAGTTGATGTATTTTATGCGATGAGAATAAAATATATTAATCAAACGAGGTTGATAGAGCTTACATCAGTATTTTTTCATAAAGCTTCTATTCAAATTTCGGTAAAAAATATAATAATTATAAAACTAATCAGTTGCATAAAGTGAACATGAGATGAAGTTTTTATATAATTTTCAAATATATTTTTCTACTGTTATCTTGATGTTTTTTATTATTATTATAACTATGATTACGGAAATTTTGGTAGGTCAGGTCATTATTGACATTATCAACCATTGTCTCTATTAGATACTCCAATCCATCTAGAATAAACAAATGAAGATTTATGCTATACTAAAATATTAAAATTAAATTAAATTAGGTAATACAAAGCTTCTTTATATATTAGCATAATATTTAAAACATTATATCTTACTTGCTTCAGATCTAGCTCCTACAGTTAAATCATTCTTTTCATAAGCAAGTTTGATGCCAATAGCTGTGACACAATTTTAAAAATATGTATAAAAACAGTAAATTTTAAAAACTTACAAAACATTTTTTTTTTAAATTAAAAAACTTGTAATGTGAACTAATTCCATATAACGATCTGTAAAAAAGTGTAATATTGATTTTTTTCAAATTTAACTTCTTTAAGTTTATAACTGTGATAATAAAATAATTATCATAAGGTGCCAAAACTTCCATAAAGAATAAAAATATTAATAAACAGTAGAGTTTCATTTTTATCTGCGAATAATAATAAATAAAAACACATATATTAGTCACAGTTACCTCCGGTTTAGAGATGAGAAGGTTATAATTTTGCGAGGCCGTTTTAATGGGTTATGAATACATATATATGTATTAACATTTTTCTACTTGACCCACAATATTTCCTAGACCGCTAACTGATTTTTTTGTATAGAAGATAGAAATCAAACTAGAAAAGTTGATTATTTGGCCAAATATACAGTAATTTCACTACACTGAGGATTGACAGAAATAAAAATGATTCTCTTGACTATTTAAATTGCATAGTATAAAACTTAGGTTACACTATTCAAAATTGAAATTAGGGGAACAAGCCCCGCTCGTAATTAGTTTGGAAGTTACAGACTTTTAAAGTTGGAATCAGGTTGACGAGGAATCCGATCATAATCGAGACGAAGTACCCGGCGGGCGCGGGTAGACGTGCGGTGCCGGGCGAGCGCGTATGTCGATATCGGCCAACTTTAAAAGTCTGTAACTTCTTAACTAGGTGCGAGCGGGGCAAAATATTTACATATTCGTATTCGGCATGCAAAATACTAGTAATTAAAAAAAAAACTGAAAAAAGGGTGTCCGGTAAAGTAGACTTATTCCGAAGATAACATTTTAGAGAGAATGTCAAATCCGTTTTAAAATAATATCCTTATAAATATAGTTATTACCGTTATAAAAAATTTTAACATATATTTTCAAACAATATACTATGATGTATTGAAATGATGAAATTTTATAAATCGTTTTCTTATACAAACACTGTGACACGAGAATTTTATGTATAGAGAGAGTTCGTCCAAGTCAAAAAAGGATTATTTATCAAAATTATATAGATTTTCTGTGTACAAAATTGTTTTTAAAGTTTTGTTTTAAAATCGTTAAAATTAAAAACTTATAAACGTGCAAACATTTCTCATTATTTTAACTTAATTTTTAAAGGGAATATTAGAGTTTTTTTTGAACATTTTTCTTCACTTAACCTTGTCAGACCCCCGGGTTAATATAGTGTACCTACTTTAAATAAATAAATAAATAAATGTATTAATCTATAGTAACATCCATTTAGACCTAGGCTACACTATAGTGTACTAGCAAGAACTTTACAAGATAATTCTAAAACTTTTTTAAAAATATTTTGTACGTTTTATATAGATTACAATAAAACATAAAACTGATAAAAAAAATGTTTTATAACAAAAAATGTTGCTGAGCCTGATAAGGTTGAGACTAATTTTTTTTAACGATGAACAAAAAAACTAAATACGCGGATAATGACAACCTATTTTTTATATAATATTTATATTAAATTTTAAATGTGTATGCAAGTATCAAACAACTAATAAATTATAAATGCTTTTTACAAAATCTAATAAGAAAATAGATTTTTCCAACATTTTAGCATTAATATGTGGTTTTATAATAAATATAGGCGTTTATTTTCTAGACCGTAGCTACGCTCTTATAAATATAGAAATAATTATTTGCAAATTTCTGTAATCCGATTTTAATTTTTTTTTGTGGGTTTATTTTCAATTTTTTTTTTATTTGGAAAAAACTGACTAATATTTTTCTTAAAAATTAAGTAAAAGTAAAAAAAAAATTGTTTTTAATTTTTAATTAACGGTTAAAAAAAATAAAAAATAAAATTGTTAACTTATATGAATTTAGTTCCCTACAAAGTTTTTTTTTTCATCTTTGTACTGCTCAAACTTTTTAAGTTATGATCATAAAAAATCCTTATTACTGTTTTATAACGCTATATAATTAATTATTTAAGAGTTTAATAGAAATACTTACTTAAATTGTAGAGTTGGTAAGAGGTTGTTGAACAACAATCGACTTGTTCAGCTTTTGAAACTAAATGCACTGATTGCGACTTATAGTTGCGCTTATACTTCGACCAGAAAAAACAGAGTTCTAATAGGCTTTTGTAGTGTAACTATGTTAATTTATTTATACAACAGATTCATTTTTTTTTAGCGAATTATCATGTAAGCGGAGTTTAGACTATTTTATTCTAAACACTACTCCTAAATAACTACGATTTTACAAAAACTGTTTCAACGGTTACAAATATTGAAATTCGAATTAATTCTAACGGTATTGAAATACTAAAATTCGAATAACGTAAATTATATAATGATGTGTTATAATTAATTAGAATTGACTAATCATTTCCTGAAATAAATTATAACAAAGTGCCTTATGTTATGTCAGAAATTGTTCAGACTTAAACGCCAAAACAGTTCACGAAATTGCCATAATTTTTTATTATAATGTACATTGGTGCATTTTTAGATAAAACGTGTGTACAATAAGTAAACAGATGAACAAAATTATTATGTACTTACAAAAAAGTGTATTATTTGGTTATTGACAAAGTCAGCCGACGGTTCATTTTCCGTCAGCTTAAGTTTATGAAAATGTTTTACAATTTCTAATTTTTTAACGTATATAGAGATAATAATAAGATAAATTACAATATATTATGTAATGAACAGGGTACAGATGCCAGTGTTTAACTAACGCCTAGCAGCCCAACTCATCTCAAAACTAGCTCGGGGTACGGATGGAGCTCGTTGACGTTCAAGTCGTAACAGTCTCTCAAGTGATTCCGCATCATCGGTCCTGTACATCTTTATGGCTTCATTTTTATCCGTTAAGATACAAGTACGGGTAGTTGTGTTAATTTGAATTTCTTTTATGTATGATTGTGAATCTTGTGAGCTCAAGTATAATCCTAGCAAACGACACTTCCGTAATAAAGAGGCATTATTCTCTACAGCTTGCACAGATCCTGATCAAAAATTAAAACATTTTTTTTAAATTTACTAATATTCGCTTACCAGTTACTTTTCTTTGTGGTGCAAGACAAAACTGTTTTATTTGTTAATACGATGTGATAAAAAAAGAATACAATAATTTTTATAATATATAGAGTAGCGGTTCTTTACCCACGGTCGGAAACCGTGACAACTTATACATGTCTGGTCAATTGTTCACATATCTTATCAGTAGAATACACTTTGGACAAATTTTTTTCCAACCTTATATTCCCATATTATATTATATTATCATGCCCAAAAAAAGTGCGTATATAATATATGTATGCATATTTTATAAATCTATAGTATTTTGAACTGATTAAATTATTATCTTGTATTTTTACTCTTATGTCTTTATAGAAGTACAACAAAATGATAATGATAATGTGATAATATTATCGTTGTAATATAATCATACTTTATAATGCAAATAGGGGTTTAGATAATGTACAGTCTACTGATAAGATATTTGAACGAATGACGGTTATACTAGGTGACATTTGTTTCCGAGCAAGTAGATAAAGAATCGATTATTCACATAATATAAAAAAAAGTTTTTCAGCCGAGTCTGCAACCACGAAAGAGCATTTTCATGTCTCGTTGAAGTACCGAATAAATTTAGATAAGTTGTGAAATTATAATTAAAAAAAAAAATTACATGGAGCTTCCAGTTACAGCATAAGTCCAAGAAGATTAAAAAATTATTTACAATCAAGTTTCTGGCTAAAATTGTAATGTTTATTATCTGGCCAAAAGTAAATTAACATAGAGAATTTAACTATTTCGAATTTATTATCTAGTTCTAATTTGAACGTTGAACGTACAGCATATCTCAAATCTCTTATCTTATATATCTTACCCCTATCCCCTACCCACTATCTTCCGTCCCAATCACTAATCCCATACCCATTCCCACCCCTATCTCCCACCCCTATGTCCTGTCCCCAACCCAAACCCTATCCCACCTCCACCCCTTATCTTCTACCCCTATTTCCACCTCCAACCCATCTACGTGTGGTAACGCTCTTTTGGTAATGATTTTTTCGTTACGCTTTTTTTCGGTTATTTGCCAGAGCTAATTCAACCCCTTTCCCATTCCCACCTCATCTTCAACCCCATTTCTTTTTTGGTAACGCTCTTGTGGTAACGCTTTTTTCGGTTATGTGCCAGAGCTAAGACAAATGTCAAAAAAGTGGAGCGAACGTTATTTATGTCTGATTATCAAAAACAGTATTACCGATAGGGGTCAATATAATTATTAATAGCAGATAAACCAAAAAATATTCATTTTAAATTCAAATCTTTATTAAGTCATAACAAACGAACAGATAGTTGAAAATTAGAAGCTCAAACGCTAAAATTGTTTTAAAAATGTTGTCTACAGATTTATAAAATTAAAAACATAAGTTTTCATTTAAAAAAACCAAATGCTATATGCTTGTTTAACATATAAGGGTTGAAGATAAGAATATTCTAAATATTGGAAAATTTAGTAAAATATGTACCTAAAAGTTTAGGAAAAAAAAATTTTTCAAAATATTCATATTTTCCGAGAAAAGGAGTGTCCTACGTTAGTTGGATCACTCTGTATATATTTATATATAAATTATAGAGCCGCAAGGGCACTCTCCTAGGGTGAAGAGTTTAACGACCCCACATACCCTAGTTGCGTTGGGCCCCTTAATAATGGAGTTTTAGAGCGGGGTTAATCTCACTACCCTTTAAAAAAAAATCTATAATTTTAGAGCAACAAAAGCCTCGGAACGTGGAGCTTACGGATTTATGTATTGGAACGTTATCAATGTATAGGACTGGAACTTTGACGACAATTATATCGTGTCTTAATTGATACAGATTGGATATAACGGTAGTTCAAGATTAAGTTGGGACAGATCTGGTAGTATAGGTCACAAGGAAATACAATTTTTTACAGTGGCGGAGAAAAACATGAAAGGGAAGTTTTACCAAGTGTTGTCAAGTTTTAACCAATTAGTTATAGAATGTGGTATGTGGAGTTTAAATGCAGATGGTTTGGCATGGGAAAAAAAAGAATACAACTCATAAAAATAGTAAAAAGAATAACGTGCGAATATTTGTTGAAAAAGCAGATGAAGTTAAATAAGGATTTAAACGTAAATCATCAATGATTGAAGGAAAAAATGGAATGTTATTAACCGAAAACGGAAAAATAGCAGACGAGTTAAAAAAATATTTAATGCCCTGTTAAACCAACATAGTGAAAATACTATTATAGAAGAATGCGACTCAGAAGAGCAAAACATAGAACCATCAAGAACAGAGGTAGAAGTTGGTTTGAAAATGCTCAAAAACGGAAAGGCGGCTGGAGAGGATGAAATTATTTTTTAATGCCTCAAAAAAGGAGGACAACAATTAACTAATCAGATACACAATTTCATTATTAAAGTATCGGAACATGATTAAATACCATGCCCGTGGCTTATATCTGTTTTATGTCCAGTTTTTAAAATAGTAGACCCTATGGATTGTACAAATTATAGGGGAATCTTGATCTTGTCCTGTCTTAAATTCTACTCAGGCAAGTAGTTGTTGAAGCAATGGGCCCAAATGGCCTATAAAACGCATCGAAGAAGAAGAATACTTATATATATATGTATAAAAATATTTGACGGTATTCAAAAACCATACAACTTAATATAACAATATTTACCTAGTAAACGACGTCGAATTATACTTTGTAAAGCTTTAAAAACGATTTTTCTTCTCTTATTTGTAAAGGAAATCAGTTCATCGGTACCTATGAAAATGATTATTAAATGACCCGTGTTGCGAAGAAATCATAAAAATAAACAATATTTTAGTCGCTATTTATACATAATTGTTGCATTGCATTTGAAAGAATTGTGGTATAAATAACTTTTTGTCCAACCACTTATAAGCGTCGATACTCAACAAATCTATTCTTTGTATACTTGGAATTCAAAGAATATAATTCACATCAATAGTGTAGCCAACTTTAGGTTGATGAGGTGAAATAATATTCATTTTTCTATTTAATTTACAAACATATCGTTCAAAATATCACCTTAAATTGTTACTAAGTCTCACTCTCCCTCCCTCTTTCCTCGAAAAAATTCGAATTTTTTAAAATTATTATAATATGATATACAAAATAAATAAATCAAATCACATATGAAGCAATTATCAACTCTAAATAGAGGCTGTTAACTATCAAAAAATCGTAATTACATCTTCCATATGCTTCTATTGTAATTTCTGTAACAAATACATTAAAATATTATTAAGCAGTTAATAAATCCCAGTTGACATATTTTATACATATCATTCACTCTATAACTGAAACTAAGAATACCAATATTAATAAATGCAAAATATTATTTTATATTCTATAATAATAAAAATAAATGTTTTTAATTCTTATTCAAATGTTTTTTAATAGCTTAAATATTAAACATAATATATAGCAATTTGACTTTAAGTTATAAACCGTAACTACAAAAATATGTAACTATTTTTTTTAAATTTTATATTTACTTGTTATTGCTTTTATGTCATCTAGCATTATTTCGAGGAAACGATTGGCTCCTAAAACAAAAGAAACTTTAATATACATTCGTATTTTTTATGATTGAAACCGATATGTCATATTAGTATTTTTCAATTGGTGCATATGACTATTCTCAAAGTATTTCTTAATCAATTAATATTAAATATAAAATGGGGATTTTACTTTGTATAGTTATTAGATTTGCTTCTTCTAAAATTTAAACAAAAATCTTGTGTGAATAAAGAATAAAAAAACTGTTGTGTAAAAACGCTTCCATAAAGTGCAAAAAAGTGTATTACCTTCTGAATTTTCGATAAGTGCCCTTTTCTCTGAAATTGATAACACATAAATCAATTATATTACGTTTAATTTGCTATTCTATTATAAACATTAAGACGAATTTCAAGGTAGAAAAATCATGTGTATTAGTAACTTGGATAAAATATACTCTACTGTATATTCAATACGATAAAATTCTCTTTCGAATATTCAATTGGAATGAAATATTAGAAATTTTATTATAAAATTCAACAAAAATTGTTACCCGGTACAGCGATCAAAAAATTAATTTTGCCTGAAATTAACATTATATAGATTAATGATATTGCATTGGATTTGGTATAGTAAATTATTACATTTTATAATTATAAATTAAAAGACGAGGTCACATTAGAAACAAATTATATTATATAGACTAGGGAGTCCTTTTGGAATGACTGAATTGATGCAGTTTAGGGGATGAGAATAAAATATATTTAGATTTCGGTGAAAAATATAATAATTATTACACTTTTCAATTGCATAAAGATAAACTTGACATGCATTTTTTTTATATGATTTTCAAATATTTTTTTCTACTCTTGTCTTTATTTTTTTTATTAATAATATACTTATAATTACGGAAATCTTGGTAGTTAAGATCATCATTGATATCATCAACCATTGCCTCAATTAGATACTCCAATGCATCTAGAATAAACAAATGAAGATTTTTGCTATACCAAAATATTAAAATTAAATTAAACTAGGTACCATAAAAATGTTTATAATAATTTTAAACCCGACTATTTCTCCGTCGATTAGAATATTAGAAATCGCTAATTTATATATTATATTGCTATGTACACTGTTCTAAATAGCCGGTCCACTTTTCTTAACTATTGATAAAAACTATAGTTTTAAATTTACTGATAACCTGACTATTAGGTACATATAACAAATCGTCTATATATATTAGTGTATTATTTTTAATATAATATCTTACTTGCATCAGTTCCATCTACTAAAGTTAAATCATTTTTTTCAGAAGCAATCTCCATGTAATGAGCTATGGTACGTAAATTAAAAAATATGTTTAAAAAACAGTGGATTTCAAAAACTCAAAAACATTTATTTATTAAATGAAATTATTACTGACTTGTAATGTAAACAATATCCATAAACGTTGCTGTAAAAAAGTGAAATATTAAATTTCAAATTTTAACTACCTTAAGTTGATAAACGTGAAAATAAAATAATTACTATAATCAGTTGCCAAAATATCCACGAAGAAAAAAGATATTAATACACAGAAGACGTACATTTTTTTCTACGAAAAACAAATAACAAATAAAAAACATTTTGTACTAAATACTGTTTGTTCTGGTTTAAAGGTGTGAAGGTTATGGCTTTACGAGACAGTTTTAGGATGATAAATAAATTAATAAATATATATATATATATACAAGCTGCCCGTGTGCCCTGCTTCGTACGGGTTAAGAAATACAATTGAAACATTGTACTCACAAATTATACAAATTATTAGTTATTATTATGATTATATTTTATTATCAAACTCCAATTCCATCACCATCTGTATCCCTATCCCCATCCCTATGGAAAATATGGTGCACGAGTTAATGCCCGATTGGTTTGTTGTCACTTTCAAATTTACTGTTTCGTTTTCATCAACAATAGTGTCGATTAATTTAACAGACAACAGATCACCTGGCAACAACTGTTGTAGCTGAAAGTTAATTTCGTCAACATAAACATCTTTTTGCTGTCAAAGTAGTACGTTTACCGAGACAATTATGATCCAAGTAATTATTCAGTATATCCGGGAAGACACTCTCAATTAATTACATTCTGTGCTGTTCACGCACCACTCTTGTTCTCAATCTTTGTTGACATATCAGCTGATTAGCTGTCAGCTGTGATATTTGTTCAAATTGCGCCATCTATTGGAATAAACTTTCACTAAAATCTTAATCTCTCAAGTTGGACCAAATTGCACACGGTAAAAAATTTATATATATATAAATTTTTTACCAGACCCATAATATTTCCTAGATCGTTAAACTGATTTTTTTGTAAGGTAATAATCTAACTTGAACGATACTTTATTTGGACAAAATTATAGCTATTTCACTGATAGACAAAAATAAAAACGATTCTGTTAACTATTTAAATTGTAATTTAACAATTAAGAAAAAAACGAAAAACGAGGATGATGAAAATATTTTTTTTTTATATATATAATCCCGAAAAAAAATCATCCTCTAGAAAGTTCAGATAACTTTTTCTTAATTTAAAACGTATATCTAAGAGGTATTACAAACTTTAATTAATTTTAATCGTGTTTTGATTAATAAACACTAATAGTTCTACTAAGAGCTTTACGTTTAGTGAAAAATCCGGAGTTTCATCGACGAACAAAACACATTCAGACGCGGTATCATTTTATTCGAGAGAAGAACGTGGAAGGTCAATTTCAACTTCAGTATATTGACATGCAGAATCAGGTTACAGACATCCTAACTAAACCATTGGCAAAACAACGATTTGAGATGTTACGGTCAGCAATGGGAGTCAGTCAGTTGAAAGAGAAAGTCGACCTATAGAAATTATTTACTGAGGGAGGTTGTTGAAATATTTAATAAATAATTTATATTTTATTCATCTTAGAATGTAAGTGCTCATTAATATTGTTTAGATAAACATCTATTCATAATAAGAAATATATTATAGCGTAATTTATATAATATAAGTTATTATTAAAGTAATTCCCGTGTAAATTGACTTCAATTGTAGTATTGCATTGTATACAATTTTTGTTCTAGAATATTCTTTTGGTTTTATATTAAAGGGAGATCCGGGGATATCTTATTTACTCATTTTTTTTATAATGTTTGTGTAAGCCAACTGTGTATAACAAGTCTTTATTTATTACTATACAACTTGTGTTAATTTTTATATTATCCAAATCCACTCCAACACTCAAATTCCAACAATTGTTAGCAACTTTATAATGATTTCTATCTTTTTAACGATAATTTATTTTCTACAAAGGTATTAAAATCGCATACTGAATAGATATATATACATAAAACTGGAATGCCATTATTTAAGACCTTAATCTAGTCATGGTAGCCTTAAATACCGGTATAGTGATTTGAACAGAATTTAATAAAGCAACATCATTTTTAAAATTTGCATATTTTCAATAAAAAAGGAACATTTGAAAATCATTTTCTTCGCTTTTTTTTTGCATGAAATAACTTGAGGCGGAAATCCATCTATGTCCAATACACTTGTTATGGCATTTTTTTTTTTTTTTTTTATAGTTTTGTTCAGTTGAATCATTATTATTTAGAAGTCAACACTAACTTAAAAAAAAATATTCTTTAACTACTATTAGTGTGATCTAGCCCTTGGTTTGATACCAAATGAATCATGAAATTTCTATTCAATAGTTGGTACAGAAATAGAGGATTTTATTAATTATATATTAAGATATATGCATTAAAAATAATGTATTATAATATTATGTAATATGCCAATTTATTCGGTAGCAATAATTAAACTTTCATAATATAAAATATTAGCTATACTGTAACGGACTAAGCTCTCCAAGCACATGTGTAATTGACCTTCTGAAGAACTTGAGCTCATGAGATCTATTATTTCTAGACAATCCTACCAAAAAGACCTTTTTTTATGAATTTAGAGGAATTAATTGTTTAATCAACCGACTCGATATTATATGCCAGTGGATACAAACGTATAAGGCAAGTAAGCCTACCTTTTATAATTATAACATAATTATTATTATATAGAATGTCTGTAACAGAGTCCGCCGCCTACAATCGATTATTAAGTAATGGCTATCAGTCTCTTACAACTTACATAAATAGTGTTCATTCAAATTAAAAAATAATGTTTTGCAATATTAGTTATAGGTATTAGGTGTATAGTTACTTAGATAGTGATTAATAAACTGATAAGAAAAATATGTGAAATATGTTGAAATTTCATTTTTGGCGATTACAGAAAAATATTAAAAATAAAAAAACTGTACGTGTGTATTATGCTAAATTAAGTTCCCTGCAAAGTTATATTTTTTTATCTTGGTTGAATACGCAAATCTACTTTATTGAGATATTATGAAAACGATTTTAAAAACTGCCCTTTTTCAATACACATCCTTTAGAACAATTCAATCCAAATATCGACAAAAACCAAAATCTATTATAGAATTCTCTCCAAAATGTGGATTGTGTAAAACGATTAAGAATTGATAAAAAAATAACTAGCAACAAAAAGTCCTTATTGCTGATTTTAACACCATTACTTTTGACTCATTAGGTTAATGTCTTTTTTTTAATTTTACCGAAATTACAATTATTATAGTTTAATAGAAATACTTACTTAAATTGTGGAGTTGGTAAGAGGTTCTAGGACAACAATCGACTTTTTCAGCTTTTAAAACTAAATGTTCTACTTGCGAATTATCGATGGGCTTATACTTCAACCAGAAAATCAGAATTCTAATAGATTTTTGCAGTGTAACTGTGTTCGTTTATTTACACAAATGCTTAATTTGCTTAGACTCGATGCGGAGCTGAGAAGTTATTGTATTTACTTAATATTATGTGTTTTTTGTTTTGCCTGTACTCGCGGTATCATAACAAATATCGAGAAATACACCAAAAACAATAACATATTTTTTAACAGAAATCTACAACACTTTATACCTTATTTAAAAAAGTCTTTATAATTCTAAAATTTTTTGGAATAATCTTAAAACATAATGCTGCCCATAAATATTGATAAACTAAAAAAACGATCATAAACTCGTCCCTCTCAAAAGCAAATAAGGGATAACAGTTTTAGGGATTTAGGTTTGAAAATTAGAATTAGATCGGACTAAACTGGTTTAAATGTACTATCTACAGATTCGCATAGAAGCGTTTAATTAAAAGTGATTTTATCAGATATCGTAACACAGTTTAACATTAGTTTGAAAACTATGTGATCAATTTCATAAAATATATTATCTACTCCCAACATACTGCATTTTCTACTAATGGTTTTTTAATTTATCGTTTTTAGATATAATAATTCCTATATACCTGTGCCTCCGTCCCCACTATGCCCCAATCACACTGTACTGGGGTTATTATTGTTATTTTTTCAACAATATCATAAAATTACATCACATAGAATTTCAATTCATTTAGGTTGAAATTAGAGTTTAAATATTTATATACAAAACAATGTAAAGAGGTGAATGTTTTTGAGGTCATAACGTTGCTTTTTCTCTAAAATATCGTCAAACATAAAAGTTACAGCTTTTCAACATAGCCATAAACTAACTTTTTTAAGGATTGTGTATTTATTTATGGTTTACTTTCCAAATAATAATGTATTATTATGCTATAATTGTTAATTGTCGTGGCCATTTCAACACCCAAATTAATTGTATGAATTAAAAAAATAATATTATACAACAATTGATAAAAATATCTAATTTTCACTTGTACTATATAAAAAGTATAGCACCTCCATGCTCTCAGATGGCACCTTCAAATATTTATGTAAGCCTAGGACCTAGATAAAAATTATATTTAGAGAAGAAATGTGAAAGCGATTGTCTGAATGGTAATTTTCCAAATACAGTGTTATAAATTCAAGCGGCAAGG